GTTTTGGCAATCTAAATGTCACCTGTAATTTAGTATATTAATCGTCACGGATCAATTATGGAAATATTATTCGTCGCATCGCGTGACAGGAACCGTTCCCATCCCTAAATACAAGAGACAAGTAGTGTTAATTTATTAATACAAGTTACTCTTTATTAGTTTGGAAAGCTTATCTTTTTATACAAAATTTGTATACATAATATTACATTGATTAAATAAATAATTTATTATCATAAATGTAATAATATCTTAATGACTTTCTGGAAAGCTGCAGCACTTAATTGGTAATTTAATTTTGATATATTACTATTATGTGAAGTCAATTTCATACCACAACATATTATTCAAGATAAAAAAATTTAAAGATGACATGAACAAAAAAAGCTGTTACATGGATAGAAACCATTCAAAGAACAAAAGATTGAAAAGGCAAAAATTAATGAATATTTGCAATATTTTATTGTCTTTAAATAATTATATATTTTAGTTGAACGAAAAAAAAATGTTCTACATGAAAAATTACATACATATGTAAACTTGATAAGTTGGTCATGTGGGGGTGAGCTCATATGACTGACTTATCAAGTAAACTGACTTATCAAATTAAATTACTTAAATATTAAAAAAAAGGGAGTGAAAAATTTGGCCAACTTATTGCAAGGCTGACTTATCAAGTTTATATTTGGCAAAAAACTTCACTATATAATATGATTCATTATATAAAAAGATCAGCATTTTTTTTAATAATAATAGTAATATTACTATACATGCAGCCCAAAGTATTTTGACACTGTCATAAAGGGGGTTACACTTGTAGTAAAGGGGTGTTACACTTATGTTTTTAATAGTGAGTTCCATAATTAATTTCTACTTTCTACCATCAAAATTGGAATAATTTTGACCATTGAAATCACCAAACCAATTTGGGCTGCATGTATAAATATTACATATAAATATTGACATACAAAAAAAAAATTCATTTAAACAATGATCCAATTTGTCTTGTTTTTTAAAAACAAGATCATGTTTAAATATATGTGTTTTGATTCAAAAGTAAGATTTTCAGGTAGATTTTGAATATAAGAAAGGATGGCATCTAAGAATATTAAATTACCTAAAATAATTTTTTGTATAAAATATATAACTTATTTTTTAACAATGACCTTCTCAGTCCAATTATTATCCAGTGGTATCATCAAATTTGTTTTACATTATGGAATTCACGCAAAAGATTGGTGGTGATAAACATCAAAAAAGCAAATAAAAGTAATATTCATTTTTATGAAATAATTTTTTTTAAATGATAAAAAGTATATATTATGTGTTGCAAAGACAATGACTTTTGCCCAGGATACTGCTTTCAATGTGAAGAATTATCAAGTGAAGTTGAAAAAAAGCCCAACTGATGCAGTATCCAAGTTATATCAAAAAATTTAAAATAATTCTAATTTAACGAGAAGAACAGTGAAATATTGTAAGTCATTAAAATCCATAGGTTATTGTTGTTTAAAACTAAATTGCAAATATTTATTAATTTTAAATAGTGATTTTGATGAATTTTTGAAAGAAGGATGGGCATTAAAGGATAATCAAAAATTTGGAAGCAAAGGAGGTGGAACAAAATTTTCTAAAAAAAAAAGATACCATTAATAAAAGTGATCATTATAATGCTCAAAGTATGCACTCTGAATTATTGAAAATAGCTGGAGAAGGTGAAATAGGTCAAGAATCAATTCCAAAAGTAGAATCTATACAAAGTTGAATTATTCATTGTTCTGCAGCACACAAAACTGAATCATCAAGAAATGCTATCAATATAATAACTTCTGATAGTGATGAATAATTTGTAATAAGTTTTTTCTTAATTTAAAATAATAAAATTCATTATTTATTATTATTTCATAAAAATAGTTATAAGAATTACTATTAAAACCAGCTACATTGTTTTTGTAAAGTTGCAATTATATTAATTTTTTTCGAAATAATAATATAAACTCTAAAAATTAAAAAAAATATCATTATTTTATATATATTTTTTACACGGAATCCACCATTGCCAAAAGCAAACTATTTATCTTGATATAAAAAAGAGGAAATTTTTAGATTTTTTAAAAATTCAGATTTTCATTTACAAAACTGCATGATTTCATTTGACTTTGCATAGCAAAAGAAAAGACTTTATATTGTACAACTTTTGCCACTTGATATGTTTTTTTTAATTTATTAACATTAATGACGATCACTCAATTTTAATAGTGAATTTCTATTGGACCACGAATTATATAATCTGAGTCCTGTGTAACTTTTTTATGCATAATTTGTTTTTGCTTTTAGCTCAATGTCCACTGAACTAGATTTGTCAATTAAATCATATTTTGAGAGTACACCCGTTTTATTATGGTCATATTTGGGTTTTCTGAAGACATTAAAATCTTATTGCATCTCGGAAGAACATTCGATGGACGATCTAAGATCCATTTGGAGGAAGCGATATATAAACTTCCCAAGTAACTTTCTTGCTGAGAAAGAACACGATGGGGACATCAAAAAGTGTGTAACTCTTCTGATTCGACAGGTTCATCATATTTCTGTTTATTACGCTTTATCTCTAAACCATTATTGGCGAGTTCTATGCAACCTATGAGGGGTGCCGTCCTCTTTGTGGTATGGGGTGCCGTTCCCCAGCACTGTATCTCCCGATCTTCTCTGCTGTTGCATGGCTTAGAGAGGGTGCCATCCTTCTCGAGGTATGGGGTGCCGTTCCTCAGTGTGACAGATGTGGGGTGCTGTTCCTCCAGAAAGATCAAGCGAAACATATTAAACATACTACTTTCTTGATTGATATTTGCTAACTGCTTTCTATTCTCGAGTTTATTAGAAGCGTCCACCTGAAGAAAAGAGTTTTTGGGATAGTGTTGAAATAGAGAGAGTTGATGATAAAAGAGGTATGTATGACTTTGAATAGTCTTAAAGTATTTTGATTTTAACATGATCATTTGGCAATTTTCTAGGATGTTTTCGATAAGAAATCGCAGATAGAAGCGTTGGATGTGCTCTGTATTTCTCGTAGTCAGAAATCTAATGAGTATGTTAATAAAGTAATTCACGCCTACTGGAACAAGCTGAGATGTCAAGAGAGGAAGAAGTGGGTACCATAATAGGACAAAAGCGATCTTATGAGAAAGATTTACCTTTGATATCATCAGGCAAAGTCTGAATATAATTTACTATTTAGTTTTCAGACTAGGGGTTGGCACCGTTAACCGTTTAACCGCGGTTAACCGGTTAACTGCAATTAAACAGTTAACTGGTTAAGATCTTTTTTTAACCGGTTAATTCTTTTTGATTAACCAGTTAAAATTAACCGGTTAAATTAACC